TGACATGAGTTATTAGTATTTTATGTCTTTATACTCATGTTTTCTATCTATAATAATAATAATCTATAATCTAATATATTCTAGTATTATCAGACATGATTTATTAATATTTGATATGTTTACACTTGTGTTTTTAATCAGAGCTAACTGTGATTTAGGATTTCCAGTTTGTTTTTGTGGCTCCGACAAAAAAAAAAAAGTCCCTAAATGTAAACTCCACCACCTGCAGCTTGATGAGAAATGCCTTTCTGCCGAAACTAAACTAAATTAATGCAAACAAAAATATTTATTGAGTTCAATATTCATTAATTAGAGTGTTCAAAAATCATAGCTCAAACTGCCGGCGGTTCGTAGAGAAAGCTTTTTAGGGCTGCTCGGTTTGCTTCCAGGCAGGAAGCTCATCCATTTGTTTTTGGCCTGACAATTAAAGAAAATTGTTGCTTCACCCCCACAGGGCAGCTTCTCAGATTAAAATATTAAACAGTCCATACGGGTATGAGGAATAAGATGGTGCGCAACACGTTACCATAAAAGGGTTATTTACTCTTTTTTTTGTAACAAATATTACATTTAATTCATCAAACATAGAACTGAACTGCAAAAAATTAAACAGAAGCTCACAAAATGCAAAACAAATTGTTAAATTTTTAAAAAATTTTTTATTATTAAAAGGACTCTTTTGCTCTCTAAATACGTCCCTACTCATAAATAAATAACTAATTGCAACAAATGTTGCACAAAGTGTATAAAAACTGCATCTCCTTCTTTCAGCACATAATAATTATGTATACTGTAAACACATTCTGCCCTCAAAGTTTTAAAACTTTATCAAACTGTTACAGCAAACACTGCTGAACTTTGTTGAAAAATGTCTTTTTACTGATGAAATGTCAACGTTTAATCCTCACCTTAACTGCATTTAGACTTGCCAGGGCTGGATCTTCATCCTCTATGACGTACGTGTAACAACTGGTCTGTCGAGCCACATCTCTGCCGAAGTTCATCACTTCGATGACCAGCTGTGGAGACAAGGCCTCATCAGTGATGACAGTCGTTACAACTGGGCGGACAGACTCATGTCTATCATAGTTTTAATGAAGCTTTGACTACACAGCCTGCTTTGTGAGCTGAAGAACATATGTTTGCTGTAAGATGCAGAGGGCAGATAATGCCTTAAGCCATGAGCTTCTGAGGGGACTTGGGACGTAGATGACTTTGTCTTTACCCAGAAGGACATTCAGACCCACTGGGTATTCTGGAGGTTGAACCCCTTTTTGGTTTGAGAATGCAACGATGCCCTTCACAGATTGAGAGATGCTGGTTTCAAGTCTGTCCTTGGGTGAGCTTGTATGAAGGAGATAGAAACAGACCCTCAGTTTCATCCAGGGGTCCACACAACTAAACGTTTCTCTGCAAACAAATTATCATGCAAAAATCATTACCCAAAGCCCCATATTTTAGCATCGTTCTTTTAGTTAAAGCAGGAAGTTGTTGTTGTTTTTAATATAAATTAATATAATTGAATTAAAATCAGTAAAGAATCAAGTTAAGTCTAAATAAAATCAAGAAATCCAAAATGAGAACAACTATAGTTGGTTGTTTTCCTTCTGATTAGTGGAGAAACTGAGTGTACTGTGTAAACTTAATCAGGAAGCCGACATAATTACTTTTACAAATTTACATTTGTGTATATGAAAATGTGCCCAGATGATTAGCACAATAAAAAGAAGTCCTTTGAACTCATTTTTGCACTTTGCTAGAAACCAAACAAGACGTTGCCAGAGTAACTGAAAGTTATTCAGTATTTTTGAGTCAACGGTCACAAAAATGTTGCCAAATTACTTTGGAATGAGGACGCAGCCAGAACAGATGAGAGCAAGATTCTGGGGAGAGATCACAGAAAATACAATTTACAATATCGATTTTACGATATTTATTTACAATATCGATATACGATATTTATATCGATGTCAGATTTAAACTTTTTAAGGTGATCTTTTGCAGGATAAACCCTGTGCATACATTTTAACAACACTTATTTTACTTTAGGAAGTTAATATTTTTGTCATGAAGTTCTGCTCCTCACCTAATTTACACGAGACAATCTGCTGCAGACGTTTAAGCAATCGGACACGGATCAGCGCCCCCGAACATTGGCTTTAACTGGGATTTTTCCACTTCTGGTCCCATTAAGGTTAGCAGAATGACTCAGTCTAGATTAAAGTTTGATAATTAAGTGTAGGCTCGGTGAGCTGTGGTCACCAAAGCGGTCCGCTTAATTCACTTCTCCCTGTGTATTTCCACAGACTAGTATCGAAATGTCACACCCCTAAAACATGAGGATAAAGTGAAGCAGGAGCATCTCAATGAGTTGATTACATTGTAATAAGCATAAACCAGAGTAGTGTTTCTGCTTCCAATCATGGCCTATTCACCAATTTCTATCCGTGATTGGGTTTACTGCTGCGCTGTACACATGATTTAAGATTGCACTTAAGAAGTGACCACAAGATAAGACGATGACTCAAAATCAATGCCTCTACTGAGCCAGTAAACCATCCTTTATTCCACATCCTCTGCAGACCAGAGAGAAGTTTGTGCAACACAACAGATCAGGCCGTATAACTTGATTTCCTCTATTATGGTAAATTTGATCAAAGACTCAGAGAAAGACATTACTCCCTCCACACAAACACATACACACTGCAGCAGCTGCTGGAAGCATGTGTCATTGGTTTTAGCTCCAGAGCCTGTCACACGTTTGTTTGCAGAAGCCAAGCGTCCAGGAAGTGCACTGATGGCGAGCAGTTTTCGCCAAACAAAACGGAAAGGAGCAGGGAGCATACGCAGCTCTAAAGAGTGTTCACGTGGAAGCCGTTGCGGCCGCGATCTCTTCTTATTACGTCTGCATAAATTAGGAGAAAGATGCAAACTCGCAGCGACAAGTAGAATTTTAAAAATAGACAAATCCCTGATTGATTTTGTAGCCGCTTCAAAACGAAAAGGACGACGGATCTGTCAAAGTAAAGCGATTCTAAAATGTTAATTAAAGACGGAATGAGTGTGAATGAAATTAATAAATAGAGAAATTCTGTATACTTGTTGAGCATAAATCTTGGTACTTAAGTTAGGAATTAAATGATATACTTACCTACGAATATGTTTGAAGCTGGATGTACTTACTGTATGTGTGTGATGCTGCCACTGAGCTGATCAGGCTGGATGTTCTCCTCATCCCCGCCACAAAAAGGGTTTAAATAGTGCAGAGAGCGAGCCATTTCCCTGTCTGTCGCCTAATGCAGGCAAGATTCTGCCCCCTGTGACCAAACTACTCACATGATGTTTTCATAACCAAGTAGACAAGCCCTTGTTGAAACGTGAGAGGACACTTCACTGGCATCAACACCGTTGAACAACATGTTTTCTTTATAATCACTTTTGATTATTGAGCCTGGAAAGGGATGCTGATGGGTTTGGGAGTTTCCAAAGTTTTACACGTCAACTAAGAACGTGAAGTTTGTTAATTTGTTTATAAGGTTGTCATTACTTTTACTTAGGACATATCAATAAACCTACTTAGGTTCATTATATGGCATGTCTGACATGACGGCCTGTTCTGCTGCGTTTTTCTTTTTTAAAGCGAGCGACTCCTAACATGACACAATGAATTCGACCTTTAAGTCCCCCGTTGTTGATGGAGAGGATTAGGGAATATTGCTCAGGGAATCTTTATCAGACAGGATTATCAGATAAGCTATATCATTAACTGAGGATTATACTACCAGTATTATCAACCAAGGGAAAATCTATCAGATGGTAAATTTGTCATTGATTGTACAAATAATGATTGGAGCAGCCATGCAAGTATCATACTTCAAATTATATTAATGATTACAAAATGATGAGTCACTGTGTTGTCATTTTCAAAAAATAAAAACCACAGGATTGGCAACGTTGGCTTGTTTCTGTTTTTTACCAACATTTTTGTCCAATTTGAAAAAATTGGACTTAACTGGCAATTTTAGTGGACTCGTTAAGCCTCAGTATTTCACCACGTTTTTTGAGTCAATAGAATCATGTGTATAGAGGTCTTTGACTAGCATCATCAGTATGCTTGCACAGGAGGAGCAGCTGCCATGTTGGAGGACAAACAAAGGGCATTTTCAGAGCGATGACTAAGACTGACTATAAATTATCTCTGCAAAATTATTAATTCACTGAGTTTGCTGGCCACAAACCCAGCTGCCAACTGACAAGCAACAACAATGGCATAAATGGGAGTTTGTCAGCTACTCTGTCTCCTGAGAAGATGGACATATAAGGAAATGGACAAAAACATCCAAATCAACTCCCGTTAATTTTCTAACTTAATTTAGTAAATGGTCTGGTTTTAAACCTTCTTCATAAGTGAAGATCTCAAGATATACAAAAGTGTTCATCAGTAGGTTTTTTTTTTTTTTTTTAGTTCTGTCTATCCTTTGGGTTTAGTCACTGGGTCTTGTTTCTCACTATGGTGGTCCAAGCACAAACTGTGACGGTGTCTACTGTACAGCTTTGATCATTTCCTACTGTGAACTATGGCCAGATTTATGCCATTCCTGGTTTCCCAGATTAGGTTAAAGTCAGGGGTGCACCAATTGCAGTTTTCTGGCCGATCACCAATCTCAAAAAAGCCTGACCTGCCGATTTCGATTTTGGCCGATACGGATTTTGTTTAATAAGCGACTGAGGCCAGACAGGGGAGTCAGATTCATATAAACCACAATTGTTTCTTCAGGCAGACTGTTTTTCTTGTCAGCCTTGAGTCCTGCTGGAACTGTCTCAGCCCAAAATGTCCAGATTTATGGATATTCCTCTCCACTGATCCATGTTACGAGCCTCCCCAAGATCGATCCTATATGCTGTCAAGTCCTAAAGCTGCAGATAGCCTGCGATTCTCACAAATCATCTCCATCTTACGGTTTAGCTCGTTAATCAGCTGATTTTGAGTCCTTGTAGCACGAACCAAACACAGACTCGGAAGCTTGCCATGGCCAAAACTACTGCCGATGTCTTCTTCAAGTTGATAAAACAGAGCCCCACCGATGCCAAATAGCAGAAGCCCTGCTATCATAAATCCAAAATATAAATGTTTTCAGCATCCTCCCGAGACAGAACTGAAAGACACATCAGCTGATCTCTGATGTACCCCACAGCGTGAGTCTCAGTCATGCAAGAGGGTTCTCCAGGACCGTGTCGTTTTGTTGAAAAGATTTTGGAAACAATACAATACAAGAAACAATACAAACTCATTTTAACTGGCCATGAGGTAGTGCTCTGAAATATAAATGAAGTTTAGACAACTGTTGTTAAAACTACAACAACAAAAAAAATCTGTAAAATCGGTTTCTCATGTAAGTATCAGCCGAGCTCCCAAAATTAAGGAAATTGGGGCTGATAAATCAGCCGTCCGATTTATCGGTGCATCCCTAGTTTAAGCCAGCATGTGGCAATGTTATGCCAAAAGTTTTTCACCCCAATATAACTCATCAAAGTTGTACATTAAGATACCATATTTCTATACAAAGTGAGATAAAAGTGCAATGTGCTTACCAAACTTGGGTTGAAATAAAAAATAACCGACTAAGATTTGAATAACTTCTGGTTCACTTTAGACGGCCATGGAAAACTACACATTTTATGGTGTTAAGAGATGGGTTATGGATCGCCCAAGATGTGGGTTATCTGGGTAGCAATGATTTTGTGTTGCCATAGATCAGGGGTCTGCAACCTTTACGATCAAAAGAGACATTTCTGCTCCTTCGTTCACTAAATTAAACATGTCCAGAGCCACAAAACCTTCTTGAATTGTCATTATCAACTGGTGGCCCATGGGCCACTTTAAGTTTTTAGAAGGGCTTTTCTGGCCAGTAGGTGTGAAATTATAAAATTAAAAACATCCGGTGATTGTTAACATTTATTTATATTTTTACATTTTAAGACAAGTTCCATCCATCCATCCATC